TGTGTAAAGAGGGTGAAGAGGTGAAGGGGAGAGGAAGAATGGAAGGGGGAAGGAGGAGCAGGAAGAAGAAAAGAAGACCCCACATCTCTCTCCAGAATTCAGTTTTATACCCCTCTTACATAGCCTTTTTTTTTTTTTTCAGTGAGAAATGTGTTTTTTAGATTTTGGCCTTCAAGATTTCAACAATCATGATTTATATATTTGGATTATGATTTTTGAGATTTTTGGATGTTAAAGAGTTTAGACTTTAGGGATTTTGATCTTTCAGCATTTCAACATTTAAGATTTGGGATTGTGTCTTTCAGTATTAGGATTGGAACTGTGTAAGATAAGGATTAAAAGTTATCTCATAGCTCTTTCCTTTTCCTTTCTTGAAGTTTAAAATGTTTATTTATTTGCTGGTGAAATAATTTGTTATGGCGATTTCTGGTTCACAAGTAAGGATTGTATACCTGGTGGGGTACTCTATGGTTTTTCAAAGCATGCAGTTAGTACATAACAATGAAATCAATGGTATAGACATGTTATTCAACATTGAACATTATGTTATATTGGGTGCATTTGATAACAGTTCTACTAGTATTCTTTCTTTTTTTTTGAAAATTGATATTGAGTTGGCAATGACAGTTTATACTTTGTTGTGGTACCCTGTTCCACAGCTCACTCTGCCTTTTTACACGCATTCTCATGTCTGTTAATCTTTTCTCACCTAACCCTGTTCTTTGCTGCCCCCTCCCCACATAGGTTCTGACATCTACCTTTACTCTCTCTGCATCTCAGAGTCCTCCTCTGTTCCCTCTTTCCCCAGAAGGGGCATACACTGAAATGTAGTCGGCACAAAAACCAAGGATAGAAAAGTTGTAAGGACAGTCATGGTGAGGAGAGGGAGTGATGTGTGGATTCCAGTTCATTACAGGTTACCTTGGTTCACTAATCAATGTGGGCAGCACTTGCAGTGGCACTGAGACGTTTTTCCTCAATGAAAGAAATTTTAAATAGGCTTATTCTGACAAAAGATAAATTAGTTGCAACTTTAATTTTTTTGAAATCTAGTATAAAGCTGTCAGCTTGGCCTAGCAAAAATGTATCAAGCAGCAAAACATTAAAGTATGATGAAATTTTTTTAAAAATTGAAGTAAAATTAAAGAAAATATTCACTTTGCAAGCTAAATAATGTGATTGCATGTATAAAAGAACTTGAAATAAAATAAAAAAAACCATTAAAATGGAAATGATTCTCTCAAAAGGGAAACTTTGGTCCATGTGATTAGAGTCGTATAGGTTAGATTTCGTGACTAATATTTATAATGGCTTCCAGAAGACAAAAATATAAGATATATTAAATGTATACTACCTGTCCTGGTGACTTCCTTGTACACAATCTTTTAATATCCTAAACTGACTGACGATGCATGGGTGTCCTGACTTACACCTGGCACAAGTGAGGCATAAATATTAGCTGGCTAGTAACCTGTATCCTTTATTTCTGCCACACTGCCTCCTCCTGCAGTGATGTGTCAGGCAGTCCTCACCTTCTCATCTGGAGCTATTCTGCCTCTCAAACTGGGCTGGGGATAATGTCAGAGGTGTCTCTGATTACTCCAATTCAGAATAGGGGTAATCATAGATTCATTGTTCTAAGAATTATTTAATTTTATTTATTATTATTTTCATTATTACTTTAATTTGCTAGAGCACATGCACTCACCAGAGAGAGACAGACAGTGAAAGAGAGAGAGAGAGAGAATGCTGCCAGGTTCAGGACTGAAACTGCAGTTGGCCTGTGGGAGTCTCGCGCCTTAACCACTACACCACCTGCCAGCCCTGAGAGATTAATTTTAATGTGCTGATTTGGGGGACAAGTATTTGTTAAAGCAAACAGTTCTGAACTAGTGCACACTGTTACATACATTCTTTTAAAATTATTTAATTTGATTTTATTCATCAATATTATTTTTTTGAAAATTTGATCAGAGAAAGAGAAAGAGAGAAAGTCTTCAGAAAAATGAAGAAAAATTTGAAATGCATTGGTAGACGTGTGGCAGGAGGACACTTATCCATAGGGCTATCTACTTTGTGCATGAAGAATGAAGCTTGATGTGGGGCAATAGTAGACTGTGACTGAACAGTGAGGCAGGAGCGTTTCACTCTGACACACCAGACATGAAATCAACAAGTGCCCTGCTCGGTGTTTTATTCTTCCTTACTACATCCTGTGGCTGAAATCGCTTCCGAAAAACAAAAGTTCCGTGGCGCTTGCTGCGACTGAGTGGCTATGGACTAAATAAAGCTTCATCAAACCATATCTCAGAATTATGAATATATATCACCTTCAAAAGATTCAAAGAGCTAATCAACAACTCAACTTTTAAAAAATGAAATGTTTTACCAAAAGCCATTACAAAATCATTGTTTGAGAGTCTTTGAGAAGCAGAAATAATCCATTATGTAAATGTGGGTGCTCTGAACACTGTTCAGAGACGCATCTGCATTCGACTGACTGATGTGAAGTTGTGAAATGCATCCATCTAGCCAGGCCTAAGTGCGTGATCATCTTCTGATAAATGTGCTGAAGACGCAGCTTCTTAGACCCTTCCACTAATAATTTTTATGCATTCTTTTCACTGTGTTGACCAGGAATCTGAGTTTAAAGAAATACTCACTGTTCTCTTTGGTAGCACCTATACTAAAATTGGAACAATACTGAAAATATTCACATGGTCCCTGGGCAATGATGACATGCAAATTCATGAAAAAAATTATATGTATATTTTTCCATATTGAATTAGAGATCTTTAGTTTTAAGATTGCCTCTACAAGCTATTCAAAGGTGTAAAAATCACAAAACTTTCTCACAGCTTATTTTCTTAGTAAAAAAATAAACATTTTCATGCGCAGAATGTCAGGAGGAAAATGGAGAAGGGATTGTGGGGTGGCCAACTCCCAGGAGAAAGAGGGGGGATTTCTCACTTTCTGTCTCACTGTCTCCCTCTCTCTCGAGTGAACGCACATACTCTATGGAAAAAAAAAAATATATATATATCCAGATATTCATCTTTAGGAAACTCTGTTTAATTTCTAATATCATTTTCTTATATATCTAAGGAACATAGAATAAGATGTTTTTAATTAAAACCTGACTGCCCAATTAATAACTGCAATTAATTAAAAATGTCAGACTTGATATTAGATGCAAAACGAAGTTGAAATGGTAGATAGTTATTCTGGCACATTGTTTTTCTCTCTGTTAATGTGGGGATTATAAATATTTTTCCTTATATAATCAATATTGCCATCAAAATATTTTTTATCTAAAATATAAAAAGAGTTTTGTGGTCCCATATAAAAGAACTATTAATAAAAATGAAGTTAATAATGAAAAATGATAAGCGGGCAGGTATTCTAGAGCAGAGTCCGTAAACTTTCTGTAAGACCAGATAATAAATATTTCAATCTTTGCAGGTCACGTAAGGTCTCCTTCTTTCCTCTCCCTTTCCATTCTTCCACTCTTCTTCCTCCTTTTCCTTTACCCCCCTTCTTTTTCTTCTTCTTACGTCTCTTTTGTCTCTTCCTCCTCTTCTTCTAACACTTCAAAACATTAGGACATTCAAACTTCTGAGCCATACAAAACTGGTTAGTGCAGTGCTTCTCAAACTCTAATGTGCAAATACACCCAGGGAGACAGGGAGCGTTCTGTTAAGAAGCTGAGTCACATCTTACAGGTCGGAGATGGCCTCTGAATCCTGTTCGTAGCATGTCTTTGGAGGATGTCTGTGATGCTAGCTAAGGACCACACTTAGCAAAACCGTTGAGGCTAAATTGTTTCATGGTAATTCACGTGGTGAACATCCCCCTCTACTGTTTTATTTGTTGATTTTGTTTTGTTTTGTTATGGTCTTTTTTTTAAAAAAAATGATACTTTATTCATATACTTTTTTTTTACAATTAAAGTATGAATTTATTTTGATACAAAAAGTTTCTGAAATTCATTCATAGTTTTCCCATTACACATATTTCCATTAGTTTTTCTTTTTCTTTTTTTTTTTTTTTTTTGGAGAGATTTATTTTTTGGCTATAGGGCTCCTGTGCTCGCCAGAAAGACAGAGAGAGACAGAGAGACAGAAAGCGAGAAATCACCCCGTGGGGGGATGGCCATGCTGCAATCCCTTCTCCTCCATTCTCCTCTCAGGATCTTGGGCATGCACACATGCCCAGCGTGAGTTTAAGCCGCTGGGTTGGGATTCAAAGTGTGTTCGACTACATACATGGGAGTCCGGCAACATAGTCATTATGTTAACTGCTTATCCCCCCCCCCCTTTTTTTTAATCCCCAGTGATTCCTTCTGACAGCTCAGATTGGTTTGTTTTGGACCAAGCAATGGATTTGTTTTCGCCAGCAATGTCCCTTTGCACACACACACACACGCACCTGGCATGAATTCAAGCCACTTGGTCTGGGACTCAATCTGCTGTCTACTACGTGGAAGTCCAGCAACATAGCCATTACACCAACTGCTGGTCTCAGTCCTTTGTAATTTTAGAAGCCCAGACTTCTTTGAAAATTTGATGACAGCTCTATCACCTCCACTACGCACCCGTGAGCGGGTTCATTCGTCAACCTACATTAGGCTTATTTGTTGATGCCATCCTAAAGTCCACTGCTACTTTTTTTTTTTTTTTTGGGGGTTTTTTGTCTAGGGTGCGTGCGCTCGCCAGACAGAGAGAGACAGAGAGACAGAAAGTGAGAAATCACGCCCACAGGGGGGATGGCCACACCGCAATTCCTTCTCCTCCATTTTCCTCTCGGGATCTTGGGCACACACGCACGCACACGCCCCTAGTGTGAGTTTTAAGCCACCGGGTCCGTGATGCGAACTGTGGTCGACTACGTGGGAGTCCAGCAACATAGCCATTACACTAACTGCTGGTTCCTAAGTCCACTGCTAGTTTTGTGTGATGTCTGAATTTAAGGAAACTCATAATTAATCTCCTTACTTTTAATAGCATCTGAACATTTAGATTGTAGCTCTAATTATGTATATCTATATCTATCTTCAACAATCTATTAATTTCTCTATCTCTTTCTTTTATCTATTTCTCTGGCTAGAGAGATCTTTCAATTTTATTTTATGACTTAGCTATTGTGGGCCTTATGACATTAGGCGTATTTGTTGATGCCATCCTAAAGTCCCCTGCTACTTTTTTTTTTTTTTTGAGAGGTTTCTGCTCTAGGGTGCGTGCGCTCGCCAGACAGAGAGAGACAGAGAGACAGAAAGTGAGAAATCACGCCCACAGGGGGGATGGCCACACCGCAATTCCTTCTCCTCCATTTTCCTCTCGGGATCTTGGGCACACACGCACGCACACGCCCCTAGTGTGAGTTTTAAGCCACCGGGTCCGTGATGCGAACTGTGGTCGACTACGTGGGAGTCCAGCAACATAGCCATTACACTAACTGCTGGTTCCTAAGTCCACTGCTAGTTTTGTGTGATGTCTGAATTTAAGGAAACTCATAATTAATCTCCTTACTTTTAATAGCATCTGAACATTTAGATTGTAGCTCTAATTATGTATATCTATATCTATCTTCAACAATCTATTAATTTCTCTATCTCTTTCTTTTATCTATTTCTCTGGCTAGAGAGATCTTTCAATTTTATTTTATGACTTAGCTATTGTGGGCCTTATGACTACATTTAAAATTTAAATTAAAATGAAGGTGATAACCTTTGTTAGAAGTGAATAGAAAATGTTCCAAACTTTGTATTTAACTTTTTCAGTGTAATTTTATTGATTACTTTAAAAAAAATTGTTACACAAGTCCTGTAGCCTAGTGATTAATAAATCAAATTCCACATACTCTATTGTGGTTCAAATCTTGACCTTGGTAGCTTGGAAAACACTTGACATGTGTGCCCCAAATCTTGACAGGATGGAGAGATGGAGAAGGGCTTGCAACATGACCACACCTTACTGAGAATGTTTTCTACCTCTCCCTATTTCTCTAGTAAGTGCACATGCCCTTTGACACTTATACAAAAATTGTATTATTGCGCCAAGTATGTGTGTGTGCATGCCCATAATCCTGAGAGGAGTATGAAGGAGAAGGGATTGTGGTGTAGCCATCTCCCCTGGGGGGTGATTTCTAAGTTTCTATTTCTCTATCTCTAACTCTCTGACAAGTACACATGCCCTATAGCAAAAATTTCTCTTAAAAGAAAAAAAAAAAAAGAAAGAAAAAGTTGCGCTATTGAAATAAAGTCCATATAGCACAGGATTCACCTACCTATAGGTACAGTATGTTTTTTATTATATTCACGAAATTGTGCAAGCATCACCATAATCTATTTTATAATTTTTTGCATCATCTGGGAAGAAAACCCATCCCAAGTCTGCTCTGTAGCATACTGGTGACGCACTGTGCATTGAGAGCTAAATGCCACATGGCTGGTCATGGTTCCAATCCTGGCCCTGGCAGCCTGAAAACATGCCTGACTCATGTACATGTGTGCCCCAAATCCTGGTCACGTGGAGTTATAGAGGAAAAAGAGTTGTGACATGACCGTGCTCCAATGCGGAGTGCTTTCTCTCTTTCTCTCTGGTGGATGCATGCATGACAATAAAAAGGAAAAAGAAAAAAGAAACCACATTCCCCATCCATGATAACTCCCCAGTCTCTTGCACCCTCCATTCCCAACCCCACCTATTGATAAATGAATGAAATTCTCTGAGTGCTTATTGGGTACACTGGACTCTAAATATTATTGCTAAAGAGTCTAGATATTTTGCCTCTTTTTCTCCTATCATTATGGTATTTGATATTTTGTTTAATAAGTGTATTATTTAGTGTATTTCAGGACTTTCTTAGGTTTGTTGCTTAATAAGTAGGAAACTATTTGATACAGTACCGCAATATCAGGTAGCATCATAACAGCAAAGACGATTGATTTGATTTCTCTAGATTGTAGAATTTTCTGTTGTTGTTATGGAGAATGTATATTACTGTATGTGGGACATTAGAGAACAAGAACAATAGCTAAACACATGATTATAGCTACTATATGCCCTTTATATTTGGGATTAGAGTCTATGGCTATGGATCCACACCTCTACATTGAAGAACTTGTTACCAATTTCCAAACTGTGACTCAATATTTAGATTTAAGCACTTTGGGATCATTTTATATCATGACTTTTGGAAACAATTGTTACTTTCTATATTTTGTAAAGCCCTCATTTGCTTTAGAGACCTGGCATTCAAGATATATAAGTTTGAATATGATGATGCATATTGGATTTTCCGTTCACGTGACTTGGTTCTTTTCTGTTGAAAAAAAAGAGTTCTGACTTGTATGCTGCCTACTCTTTTGTTTTAGATACCTAATGCTTATATATGCTCTTTTTCTGGACCTGATGTGATTTAAAAAAAAAAATGTAGTCTGCAACCTTTACAGGTTAATCCTCTTCAAAAATGAAAAGATTCATTCACAAATTACGATTCCTCTCTTAAACTAAAATATGCATTTCAAAATAATATTGAAAGTGAGTAGGTAAACCATTATAGAGTAAATATTATTTCTGTTTACTAAACCGAAATATGCTAATAATAGGTAATTGGCTGGGAAATTATGAGAGCAAAGTTCTAAGCAGCTCTTTCTTAGGTCATTGTCATTATGTCCCCAGACATTGTTCCCCCTCTCGGTATTTCATCTTGATTTTATTAGTAGCAGCTGGTAGGATGCTTCCACAGATAATGGCCATGAACACCTTGTAAATTAAAAATATTCAAAACAACACATACAACATTTTAATCTTAAAATATCAATAGATTCTTCTCTTGCTATTTCTTATAGCCCTTAATGGCCCCAGTTCCATTGTAATGATGGGGAAGTCATTATCACCTCTTACTCTTCTGTATATGGTGGTAAACCAAACTCCGTTAAATGTCTCTTTTATGATATGTCATATATCTCCTCCTGTATCTTTTTATTTTACCTAAAGCACCATTTCCCAAAGATTCTTTTCTTTCTTTCTTTCTTGCTTTCTTTCTTTTTTCTTTCTCTTTTCTTTTTTCTTAGAGAGGTTTTTGCTATAGGGCATGTGGGCTCGCTGGACAGACAGAGAGATGGAGAGACAGAAAGTAAGAAATCACCCCCCACCCCCCTGGGGAGATGGCCACACCACAATCCCTTCTCCATTTTCCTCTCGGGATCTTGGGCACTCATGCACACATGCCCAGCGTGGGTTTTAAGCTGCTGGGTCTGGGACCCAAACTGTGGTTAACTTTGTGAGAGTCCAGTGATGTAACCATTATATCACCTGCTGGTCCCCCCAAAGATACTTTTATTGTTCTCTTTGACTATTAAAGTAATTCTCAACTGTCTTTTGGCATCCATTGAAATCATTTTATACATTAGATCAAAAATATGTTTCTAATACAAACATAGTCATGTTGTCATACCACTGCCCACTCAAAATCAGATCCATGCAGAGTAAAACTCAAACTCCTTCACATGATATTTTAAGCCATTTTGTTTCAGGCTTCAGGACTATCTTATACCTTACTGCCATGTCATCTGATCATAAATGTACCTTGCAAATACTCTCATTTCTCTTTTTGCTTATAGTATTCCTTTAGTCCAAATGCATTTCTTCAGTTGACATATTTTATTTCTTTACAACTCAATTCAAATGCCGTTTTTGTGAAGAGAGATCTCTTAGTATGCTCCAGCTAGAGTTAAAGGTTTTATGTTTATTCTCGGCTTTCTTTTTCTAATATATTTCTTGTCCCTCTGTGTAATTCTTATCTCATTTTATTTTCTGATTTTTTTTTTTGAGAGGTTTTTGCTACAGGGCATGTGTGCTCACCAGAAAGACCAAGGGAGACAGAGAGAAAGCAAGAAATCACCACCCAGGGAAGATGGCCACACCACAATCCCTTCTTCTCCATTCTCCTCTTGGGATCTTGGACATGCATGCACACTCACCCAGCATGAGTTTAAGCCACCAGGTCCGGGACTTGAACTGTGGTTTACTACATGGGAGTCCTGTGACATAGCCATTACACCAACTGATGGTCCCTGATTATCTCATTTTAATTGATGATTTATACTTGAATCTCTCAGTCAATTACACCTGGGTTCAAATCCTGCCTCTATTGCTTACTTCCTTTATTTTATTTTAATTGCCAGAGCATGCATATGCTAATCAGAGAGAGACAGAGTGAGAGAGAGAGAGATGGAGAGAGAGAGAGATGGAGAGAGGGAGAAAGAGAAAGCACCCCCAAATGGGGCATAGTCACATCACAACTTTTTTCCTGAAGCTCCACCCTTCCCTGGGTATATCTTTCAAGCCACAAGGGTGGGGTTTGAACTGTCATCAGTCACTTGGGATCCAGTCCCCAGTGGACAGAGCTTAACCACTGCACCATGAGGCAGGCCTTGTAGCTTATTTCCTCTACATTTCTGAGCCATTGATGTCCTTTCCTAATCTTCTTCCTTTTTTTTTTTTTTTTGTTAAATTGAAATTAGAGTTACACATAATTGGCAGGTCTCTTTGTGTTACAATTTGATAACGCAGTGCCCTCACAGAAAATGGTACCTATGTGTGCCTTGTAAGTAACCTGAACACTTGGCTATCTTCCTGAATAGATAGTACACACCTTGAGGGCAGGAAATTAGTTTTATTCATCTTGGATCCCTGTCCCCAAAGGAAATCTCTTGATTTTTGCTTGACCTATTTCATGAAACATGTTAAACTTAACTCATTAGAATTAACATGGAGTTTTATTGCTAGATTGCCTCATTTCACAAATGAGTTGTGGATTATGTTTGAGATGCATTGAGAACGAAAGAGTGCAGTGTAACTAAGTGATCATATTCGACTGTGCAACTCAGTAATAGTTTAACTTCACCATGAACTTAAGTGAAACAGCAGGTACAGATGACGAAATGTTTAAACTAACACTCTGTCATATTTCGTAGGATCTCGTCTTCGCCAGGAAGACTTTCCTCCACGGATTGTGGAGCACCCTTCAGATGTCATTGTCTCTAAGGGAGAGCCCACCACTCTGAACTGTAAGGCGGAGGGCCGGCCAACGCCCACCATTGAGTGGTACAAGGATGGTGAGAGGGTGGAGACGGACAAGGATGATCCCCGGTCTCACAGGATGCTTCTGCCCAGCGGATCCTTATTCTTCTTGCGCATTGTGCACGGGCGGAGAAGTAAACCTGACGAAGGAAGCTACGTTTGTGTTGCAAGGAACTATCTCGGCGAAGCAGTGAGTCGAAATGCATCTCTGGAAGTAGCATGTAAGTGACCCTAATGAGCCGTGTATGCATGTTTACTTTTATTTATTCTTAGTAAGTTTTGATTTGTTTCCATAGATATCTAATTCCTAAAGGGAAAAACCAACACGCTACAGATCATTTTACTTTGCATTTTCCAAAGAAATCTGCTCAAAATAATGTCAAGCGAGGGTATTAAAATCAATGTGTTTATATTAAATCAATTTTGCCATTATATTGTACTAAAGCAAAGTGGCAATAATGCTGCTCATATTTAAAATTTGAGTAGTTGACGTATCTTATGTTAAAGTTGGCTATGTTAAAGTTAAAAGTTTATACATAACATCAGATGTAATGCATAAATTCAATATTGCAGCTGTTTTTATTACCTGTTTATATATATTTTAAATATTGAATTATCAATATTGAATTTAAGCCTTTATAAATATATACATGAATATATATACATTATTCATATATATATATGTGTGTGTAGACATATATATATATATATTATATATATATATTAACTTCTATGTCTAATTTTTACCATGGAACTTAAGACAAAGTATATTCTCTTATTCTCAAGGTATAGTTGCTCTTTTACTTCCAGGCTACATTCAGAAATCATTATACTAGGCATGGAGGGGAGACTGCCCCCTACAACAGCAATTATGACTTATTTATTTATTTATCTATTTGTTTATTTTTATGTTAAAACTCATCAGAGAGAACATCTACTTTCTGTGGGAACAGAACAGTCATGTAGTTTTGGTTTATGGGGGGAGGATTTGAATTTTTGATTTGAACAATATTATAACATTTTGATGTTATCTATTTAAACATTTGGAAATTGCCATGATTCATAAAGAAAAAAATTATTATCATTATATTTCAGTAACATTTCAGCACTTTGAGGAAAGATTTTATCTGGAATTGTGACTAAATGTCACTGATCAGGTCTAAAAGTGTTCATACTTTTCAGCTTTCTGTTTGCAAAGTAAGTTTTATAGAGAAGAGAACTGCAGAATCTCAGGATGCATGGAGATGTTTACTTAGCTGGGAGCGAGGGCTCAATTATGGCTCAGGGTCTCGTGTCTTCAGTTGCAGTTGGTGCTGCTTTCTCAGGCTACATGGTATCACAGCAGATCAATGAACTCCTGTGGGTGTGTGTTGTTATTATCAACATTATATCATTGTCTTTATACTGAAAGCATCTTTTGGTAAGCAGAATCACATTATTTCATCTATTCCATGGAAAACTTTTATTTTGAAGCATCTAGCCTCTGATTTATAGTTTCTGCAAGGAAATCTAAAGCCCACTGATGCTTGAAAAGTGTAATTTCAATAGAAAAAGACAAGGAGAATCCTCAGTCCTTTTTTGTTCTCCTGAAGTGCCTTGAGATATAAACATTAGAACCTCGGGTTGCCATTTTGTACTGGATGACAAATAATTTCATTTTTATAAAATGATATTTCTAAAAGCACTTATATGCAGTTTGGTGAGATTTGAAATATGTGGACAGAAGCTCAAGAAAGCAATACTCGTACGTGATCTATTTTTGTTTTAAAATATCTTATTTCTGGAACTTTTCACATATATTGAAATATTTTAGTGCCAAATACTGTTGATTATTTGTTCCCTCTAGATCTCTTTATGGTAAATATGACAGGCATTATTCTTTTATTTTATAGAATAAGAAAATAAAGTTGATGATGATTAAGTAAGATTCAGACAATAGTTTAATAAGAAAACCTAGACAATATCCTGAATCTTCTAATTTTTAGTTTAGAGAAGTTTATCATTTTTTAAGAAAACCTCTTAATTAAATTAAATAACTTTTTACACTTAAGGATTTAATTAAATTAAGAACTTTTCATTTTCATGGTCTTTTTGTTTTACCACTTTGTAGCAAATAATTCTCTTAAAAACTTAACTAATTTTATTTCTCAAAATTATAATTTATATAAATTGGTCAATTATTTTATTGTTCGGCAGTAATAAATTTATTTTATTTTTCAGAGTCTTGGATTTGTTAAAATTGAACCCAACACATACACATTTTTTATTTTATTTTTTCTAAAAGGATTGCTGTCTTTCCTAATTGCATCATTAATAATGAATCAAACTATTCTAGGAGGAAAATTTTAACCCATGATTTTTTTTTTCATGTAATGTGCTGTAGCATTTTTTAATTTGAAATAAATGAGCTTTAAGAAATGCTTGAATTACTTATGACCTAGGAGGAAAACAAGGCTTCCAAATTGGATTTAGCTGGTGAATAAAATTCTTTCTTCTAATGCCATGTCAACAGTGCATGCCATTTGAGGAAACAGAAGATCAAATATTCTTTTCTATGTTGCTCATCTCTTTCCATTAGCTCATCAGTCTTCTATCTTTCCTTATTTATGTCATAAAACTTATGAATATGAAAATTTGTGCCAAAGCTTCATGATTCCTCAGTGCCTATTGGCATTTAAGGTGTATTTTTATAAAATGATAGAAGAAAAACCTGCAGATTATATAATTTATCAGTCTTCATATTCTAGAACATTCAACATGAATGCTCAATTAGGGTGCATCTGTTTCTTTACCTACTAACTGAAAAAGGATGTTTGTTGAAAGAGGTCTTGGGGTTTAGTAACGCTGAAGACACCTGTTCTTGAAGAGTTCCCCATTGAGTTGGGATGACAAACATGACTATAAATAGTCATAATCATTTAAGTAATCAAGCAATAAATTCTGTGTGGGAACCCAGAGAAAAGAATATTTCATTCTTCTGAAGTGAGTTTAAAAAGGATTCTAATAGGATATATATTTGAGCTCTGATTTAAAGATCAGATGAGAATGACTCAGGGAGAAATTGAAGTGAAATAACATCCTGATAGAAAGAATGTAAGTTTGAGAGAACTGTATTTGGAGAACTGTAAGTAGCTAGACATGAAGTTGGTGGGCAGAGTAAGTTGAAAAGAAGGCATGTATTGAACCATAAAATCTCATCTTTTTATTTTGTGAAAGAAGAGTCTTTGAAAGGGAATTGAAAATTATGTTAAAGGGGGTGATGATTGATGTTAGCGAGGAGTTAAGAGGCTGTGGAATGATTCATAAAAAAAGTAGATGTTAGATTCTAAATTGAAAATAGCAGTGAAGATTGAAAGGAAGAAATGGTTTGCAAAACTTTAAAGAATTATAAATCATACCAATTTTCCATAAATTTGCAAAGATAGAGGGTGACTCCAAGATTTTTTTTTTTTTTATGGTCTGAGTTTGGCTGAATGATTGGAATATAGTGCTGTCATCCATAGGAATGGGAAGTATAGGAGAAATAACTGTAGTGGAAATAGGGGATGGGGGTCAGGTTGTAATGTTTGACATACCGAGAAGATATCACAATAAAAAATATCTCATGTTCCATTAAAAAAGAGAGAGAGTTTCTAGAATTGAGAAGGTGCTTCCCTAGGCAGAGATTGAAGCCATGAGAGCAGATGAAAGGAAAGGAATTGTCTAGGTGGGCTGAAGACAGTGGTTAGCAAGGAATGAGGTCACTCTTATTGCTTGGAACAGCAATAGAATATTTAATGGTAGGTAAAGGAAAGTGTTGCCCATGCAGGAGGCTCAGGCTCAGAAGACATATCAGAGGATGATCTTGGGCAGTGACTCAAGAAGAAAAACAAATAAACAAAAACCACTTTTCCAAGAAAGAAAAAGTGATTGGCACAATGCAGTGCCACATGGTAGTCAAATAAAAAGTACCTGAGGGCTGAAGAATAAGTGTTAAGAGTTTGAGTGGCAAAAGATGCTCATTCTTTCAAGAGGTGGATCAGAATGGGGTGTGGGGGAAGTAGGGAGGGTATCTCAGCCTCTATAGTAATACCATTTGTAAATGAATAATTCTTTATTGGGGGCAGCCTGTTCTCTGTATTATAGGATATTTAGAAGCATCTCTGGCTTTTGCCCACAAGATGCCAGTAGGACTGCCCCCCAAAACCAGTTGCAACAACCAGACATTGTAAAGTGTCCCCTAGAACACTTCTGTTAAGAACCACTGAACTAAGCATCTAAATAGTCAATACCATATTGAGAAATAGCAAATGAACTTACTACAACTTTTACTGTAAAATTATTATTGAAACAAAATAGAGGAAAATTTTGTTTTTCTTAGCTTTACCTGGTTTTCATTTGAATTCAAAAACTAAATTCTGTTATACTATGAAGTGTGCAGTTTTATTGATAACCATCTGAATTGTATGATGGAATGGAAATCAGCCTATTCATTATTGTATCACATTTATCTCTTTTGTGTTTCATTTAGTGCATGCTTCAGCTTCATGTAATGAAACCATACAGTGGAGTGCAAAAAAATCCCTTCTGAATCAATCATTGTATTGGAGAGTTGAATCATTTACCTCACATTTAGTGGAGATTTGAATTACTTACTTCTTTTGTTGGAAAAAAAAATAGCAAACCAAAAAGGACTTTTCAAGTCACTTGAACTCAAGAAAGGTCTTTAGCAGAAAGTTATAGTTAAACAGTTAGAAAGCAGAACTACAAGGTCCGCCAGCCAGAGCCCTGCCACTTGGTGGTCCGAGGGGACCACCAAGAGAGCCACCGAGTGGCTGGTGCAGATAGGGTTTCAGAGCTTCTAGCCCAGCCCTGTGCTCTGTGTGTGAAGGAGCACAGAGGTCCTCACAGACTGTGGCTGCCTGTGCTGCAGCCTGAGTCAGTGGCAGTCTCCAGAGATAGCAGCTGTAGCCCCAGGTGGTAAATATATGACAGCAGCTTGATCTATCGACCAGGGTAAGAGGGGGTTCTGGCCTAAATGAAAATTCATGAAAAATTGATGAAGTCCCCAGATTATTTTTTCCGTTTCCTTTTCTCAGCACTATACCAGTGCAGAGGAGGGGAGAGTAAATGAGGTGCTGAACTCTTCAGTGGCAAGGAGGTTGTGGTTCGAAGGTCAGGGGTCACATAGAGACCTAGAAACCGATTTTTTTTTTTTTACTTCTAAAGCAAAACATAAGAA